TAGTGAATTTCTGGGAGTATCACCCAGAATGCTTCATATGAAAAAATAATCTGTAAACAGAACTTCTAATAACATAGTCAACTCACAAGAAGTACCCACAGGCTACATCCGTAAGAAAGAGGCTTTAATACAAAGCTGAGAGGTAATTTCCTGCACGTTGCTGAAGATGCACTGTCTGCACACTGTTCACAGGCTAAGTATCGCTCCTGTTGACCAAAGCAGCTTCTATTTTTGTTTCTTGCTTGAGTTATATTCAGGTTAGAGAAAATGAAATGCAGTAATACAAGCTATACTCCATCATGGATTTCTGGACAGTGATCAGTACACAGTTTTGGCTTCTACCTGCAGATCTAACTGCATCGCTGGCAGAAGCCTTCCAAGGACAACATGAATCAGCACATATCTATTTACCTTAAAAAGAGCCATTCAAGAATGATAGGTGCTCAAGTGCTGGTAATTTATTTTGCGTATAGTGTATTGAAATGTTGTATCTAAAAATTTGAATGGAACAAATGGCAGTATACAGTGTCATCATCTTGCTAGCACAGGAAATCTTCACAGGAACTTTTTTTTCTCCATTTTCTAGAAGTCTAAGCTTCTCTGAGGAGCTTTTTGCTAGAAACTAAAGGAGAGTGAGGGAGGAATTCAGCCTCCACAGTGAATATTTCATAATGCACTAAAAATACTCCAGTTCGTATTACCCTGACTTGCACGGAAGCCTTCTTTTTTGAGCTGTTAGTTTTAAATGCTCTTTACATTTCTGTGATGATTTTTAGCTTATAGAAGAACTAATGATAGACTCCCTATCTTTGCTGCATTATGCAAGCATTTTTATGTTGATTTATGTATAGAAGCCAATTCATACTGAGTTCACATTACCCTTCTTTAAATACCACCCAAAACATAATTATACATAATCCTAAATAGAAGAGATGTTATCTACATGATTGAACTCCCCTTATCACTACAGAACTACAGCTCAGATGACACTCCAAGATTTACAAAGCCAGACTGTAAGCTCTATTCTAGAAAATGCAGCCTATGCATTGGAAATACTACACTCACCGTAAGATTCAGAAGCACGTTATATGAACATGCTATACAAACCTACTGCAAGGTTGACACTATATAAATGTGTAGCTAATAGTCTTGCCAACATGCTCATTCTTTCATATTTAAATTAAATTTCACTATATCACACACCGAAAAGCTGGGGCAGTGAGGAAGGAGATGCAGTGCATGTGTGTGGGGGAGCTGAGGATGTGAAACCTGCTGGGACTGCAGCACAAAGGAGGTTGGGCTGAGGGAAGCAGAGAGGCAGCCCCTCGTTCATACCAGCACAGATCACAGCATAAACTAGCCCAGAACCATGATCCATGTTTTATCTTGGAAGGAATTAGTCAATTTGCACCAAAGAACAGTCCAGAAGGAAACTAACACATCTACAGTGAGAAAAGAGACTTCTTCATATACTGATTATAAATTAATTGCCTGAACAGGCTCATTTTTGGTGGCAGTTATACAGGACGGCCTCTACTTCCAGAGATTTGTCTCTTCTGTTGGAATTGAAAGGAGTTGGTAATTCATTATTCCAAATACAGATAGTAGCACGCATTTTCTAATGCATAAGCACACAAATCTCTACCATGGATACAATGCCAGAAGACACCTGGATCTGCTGGAGAGTCTGAGGTGTATTCAACATTTCAGGCTTCTCCTGGTTTCACTTTCAGCACATGAATATTCAACTATACTCTAGGTAGCTTCTCTAACAAGATCCCTGCTTTCCAAATCAAAGTAATGGCTAATCTGTTTTTCTGGTTGATATATTATTTTATTTCTCAGCCTTTTCGGACAAGCTGGTAAAAACAGTTTTCCTTCCTACCAACAAATAGAAATGCTTTGATTCTTGATCTGTCTTGAAGAGGTAAGCCAGTTTGCTTATCATTAGCGTGCCTTTTTGTCACTAAAAAGAAGAAAATGCCCTTGAAGCCTATCCACCTATCCTTTCTAGTTTAATGATAGGAACATCTTCCTAAGTGCAGAAGAGTAAACTCATCAGTTGTATTTCAGTTCTCTCTGCTGCAGAAGCCTATGGGGAAGAAACGAAATACAGAATATCCGACCATAGTACAGAAGTTTACGTCTTAAACCGAATTATACCACACAGATATATGCAATCTTTACATCTAGGATAGGACTCTTCTCATTCTAGAAAAGGCTTTATCTTAATTGACTTTATGCCTCACCACCTGTGTCATGGCTTAACATTTGCTTTAAAAGGCGAGAAGCTGTAGGGTGATATTTTACAGTAGGCTTGGAAAATAGAAATCAAATTTTTATGGATATATGATATTAATATGATAGTTCTTGACAAGCGATACAATAAAGGACCATGCAAATGTAGGGAAGACTAATATATTCATACAAATAATAATTAAAAATATTCAAATAAGGAACTCAATTAGCCTTTCCTTATAGTCACAGGTAATTCAAAATAGAAGGGAAAAATAACTAGAATATGGTTACGTTATTAAGTAATTTGACTGAAGAATTGAAGTATTTATATTTATTTTTAAGTTTCACATATGCCTATTCTCCTACAGAAGCAAACAGACACAATGCTAGGGCAGGAAATTACAATGGCAAATGTGTCCTGTTTAATGGTGTACTATATTATTATATAGCATTTCTTGTTATTGGTGAAAAACACTTTAATTATGTAGAGCATTCATAGTGCAGAATACGAAATCAGAAGAAAAAAAAGGATGCATTTAAACCAAAGCCGATGTTTAAGAGGAAAAAAATCAGTAAAATTCTACAAAAAAAACCCCACACCTCTAAGTTCCTGAACACAAAAGTCATAAAAATTAATATGAAGAAGCTTGAAAGTACCCTGCTTAATATCAAAAATATACACCATACATCAGATTACAGAATTGGCAGGAAGGAGATGATAGAATGAAAGAGAAGTTTTGCTCTGCTGTCTATGTCTGGTCATTTCCCCTAAAGCCTGTAAAGCTAAATCCTTCCTGGACTCTATTTAAGGATAGTTCAATCTATGATGTTTATGAAAACAATTTTAAAAAAAATCAAAAATAGAAACCTTTCCTTGCAATCCCATCACCCACTACCAGTGCAGCGAACAAGAAAAAGGGATTCTATTCTCATTTTATCTGATCTAGTTTATATATGGTTTGCTTCAATCACTCTAAGGAATTTTAAAACACTGTTAAACTACCTAAGCAGACTCTCAGCTCAAATTTGACATATCATTGTGGTGACTGTAGAAATACTTACAACGTTTATGATTTGGGGGAGAATCTGCCAATCCCCTCATCACTAAGTGCAGTGTCTGGGCACAGCGGTTATGTCTTATATGTCAATAAATTAGCCCTGCTCTGAAACAGATGGTAAAAGTTCAGTAAACATTTCACACAAAAACGTGTGCCATGCCAGTGTTTATAAAAATTCAGCATTAGGCAACTGACTGCAGCAGCATTATTTTGGAGAAAAACAACCTTTCAGGAAAGTAGAGCCCATGCCATTCATAGCATGTCAGGCCAAAAGTCACCTCGCAGTGTCTGTGACCCCCAGGATTGCTGTCTATTCAGCTCTGACCTGCAAGATCTGTACATGAGATCAAAACATTTAGCAAGCTGTGACCTTCATGATCTGCTTTTGTGTTCCCTGCTGTCACTTCCCCAGTCTGGGTGCATAAGTGGGAGCAGCAATAATATTCCTCAGTGCCATGGCTTACTCAGAATCACAGACTGTTTTTTACTCAGCATGAAGCATGAGCACTTCCTCTAAAATTCTGATGACAAATGGTGCACAAATACACACCACGGAGGCAAGAAGACATAAGAGAATCCTGGGCTGCCAAGGCAAGTAAGAGAGAAGTTAAGTCACCAGTACTGTGGAAAAAGAGAGTGTCAGGACAACTCATCATTGACGACTTGCAAGGAGCCTCAGGGGCTCCCAGAGTGTGTTACCACAAATGAAGAGGTAGTTTTAGTATCTAACTCCTAAACAGTGCTGCAGGTAACCATGATCTTGCACCTGTACCAACGGATGAGCATGGACAAGAGCTGACTGTGCTTTTGGACGCAAGTTAGCAGGAGAGCAGCCTCTCCAGCTCCCACCAGCTTCATGAGCCCAGTTCTGGCCCCTCCAGCACCCTGGGACACGAGTGCAGGGGTCCATCTGCAGCCCTGCCCTGGTACCAGGGCACTGCCCACTCATCTGGGCAGCTTTGGCTCCAAAATGCAGCTGAAATGCAAAGTGCTTCACCAGGCCTACAAAGAGCAGCACACTCAAATTCCAAGCAAAATGTCACAATAAAATACATTCACCCATGTACTTCAAAGGCCACACCGGTAAAACCCAAAGTTTCTAGCTGTCCAGAAACTCAAATAAAAGCTCTTCCAGCCACAAAGAGCAGTACAGCCAAAGCCATAGAAGGAAACACAAAGCCTAATATCACAGCCCCACAGGCAGCTGGTGGGTTACTAAAGCAACAGCCCTGGCCTGCTACACAGCATGAAGCTGAAGTCTAGAAGAAATCACCTTTTGACTTGCTCCTGTTCCTCCTATTTCCTCCTATTTTTTTCTGGAATCCTCTTGGCTGTTTCCAAGGCCTGCCCATCTTTTACAGGGAAGAGTTTGCATGCATTAGGAATTGTTACACACACACACACACACACACGTATTTATCTATATATTCTGCAAAGATTTGGAATTTGTATGGCTTATAGTCATATCCTCCCACTTTAGGTAAACTTCTGGTAAAGAATAGTAAGTTCTGATCAGGAGAAAGAAAATATTCATAAAATTAACTGTTCTGGAATGAAACACCAGTTTAATACACTTATTCAGTCTTCCATTTACATAAAATGTTGCAATTGTTAGAAGAAAATTGGAACAGAACATCTCATAAGTTAAAAGCATGGCAATACTTTATATAAATAACATTATTTTTAAAGTCATAAAAGGCTCACCGGATGTTTGGCTGAAAGTCTGCCAGTCGCGGTTCCTGTCTGATTCCACGTAGAGGAAATAAATCCCTTTAAAGCAAATAAAGTAAAAGTCAAAAAGAAAAAAAAAGTACTCATACATGTAATAGGGATACGTTTCTCTAAAGTTTAATTAATGCAAATATTAGTAATGAGTAACTGCAAACATTTGCCGTGATTTTGCAGCAAACTGCAATGCCAACAAGAAATGTTTTATCATTTTTATACAAAACATCTTAAACTGTAAATGTTGCTATTATTTCATATCATTTTAGGACCTCTTTGAAATATCACATTTAACAGGCTATGAGTTGCATTTTTACCTTTTTCATGCATGTTAGTAGGCCGTCCACATAGGTTGATTTTATCTTATGAACCTAGATCACATAAACATGAAATAAAAAGGCAAATTCTTATCCATAAATATAAAACATTTTCAAAATAAAGATACTCTTTAAATACTTCTTTTCTTAAAAAAAAAGCATACAAAAAGCTCTATTTTGAAAATATTAGATTCAAGTCAGCTGTCGAGTTGTATCTCAAAGCCAGATCTATGCAAATGAATCAACAAACGAATCAGAATTTATATTGCCAATGAATGACATAAAAGGCACCCCAAACCTTCACTTTTTGCCTTTATCTTGGAAATACATCTCCTGAAAGCCTAATTAATGTTTATTAAGTAAAAGAGCATACTAAATAGATTGGTTTGAATTTTCAGGAAGTTCTGTCACCTGAGAAAACAACCTAACGAGTCATGTCCTTACTTTATTCATTATATTACTTTAGAGCTCAACTTTTTTTTAGAGGGTTTTATAGCACTAGACAAATTTAACAGCAAACCTTTCCAAATGCTTTTGCAAAAGTGTTTTATTAGCTACAGTTAATATAGCACAAAACAGAAAAATAAATTTTAAATTTAGAAACCCTTCAGAATACCTATAACTTAAAAATATTTAATAAATTTAATAAATATTTAAATGAATTCAAATAACACCCTAGCCAATATTTTTTCACTTAGTTACAAATATGTTATTTCTTGCTTAGTTTTGATCCAGCACAACTGCGATATGTAAAAAATACATCTCACCTGGCGGTATTCTAAAATTATCTTTGGCAATGGATGAAGATCTTGCAACTTATTTAACTGCAAAATAACAAACTTGAATTACTCTTATACTTTTCTGTTAACTGGTATTATTTAACTATTTAAATTTAATCTCTAGATCACAGTTTATGGGGTTTTTTTAATATTTAAATGAAAATGCCTCAGTCAGTAAATAAAATGCAGAATCCTTTTTTTGAGGAAGAAATTCTCTCTCCAAAATGAATTGACTAAATAATATTCTAGAGAGGAGGACTGGAGGACTGAAGAGTGTCCTTCCCTTCCAATTTCTCAGAGAGGGATCAAAAGGTACATAGAGATAAAAAAAAAAAAAAACTTTTCCACAAGTTTCCACAAGGATATTGAAAACACAGGGGGTTGTGAGGGATTGTGGTTGTTGTCTTTTTTCTTTTTTTTCCCTCTATTTTCTGTCTTTCTTTCTATCTTTTATTTTTCTTTTTTTTTTCTTCCTTTCTTTCTTTTGCTGCTGAACAGCATCTACATACAAGGGAACATAATAAAAGTACATAAAAAAAAGCAAAGAAATGGGTTATTTTATTCTGTCCTATAATGGAAGGTCTGGGAGACTTTCAAGAAAAAGTTGAAATTGTAAGATCAAAATCAATAAAATTATGTATATTTCTGTTTAACGTGCTTATAAATTGTAATAAAATATTACTAAGAAAAACAATTAAATCTTTCAAAGACAGATTGGATGCATAATAATACAACAAAGATACCCGGAACTACAGTAGATCAGGGTGCAAAACAGACATGACTTTACCAAAAGAGATTTAAAAGGACAGATTTCTTTATCACTACGAGAGAGAGACAACATATTAATTAAGGTTTCAATTTACTGTTTTTTAATTAAACCAGCCTTGGCAATCATTGGAAACAGAGAACCGGACTAAGTAAAAACCTTACTTTGATCTACTGCAACAAGTTCTATGTTCCCAGAAAAAGAAGACATTCATTCTATTTCAGAAATCCTTCCCATGTCGCAAGGCCCACTTGCTGCTATCCAGTATTACAAGATTTGATCTCTAGCACCTCCTTCTCCTTGAATGTGGTGTGATTCATATCGTTATACTGTTGATATTGTCTCAGGGACACTAGTTGACCTGAAAACTGAATTTCCACTTCATACATAAGAAGCAAATACTACATTTTTACCTTTCCAAAACGTGTTTGTTTTGTGCTCTGAGTTTATTATTTTAAATTTAATCCCCAAGCTGGACTAATCCAATTACTACATCAAATCATAGAAATTGATTCAGGTACCCAGAGGTCTCCTCCAGTATGAAGGAATTTTACTATTATTTTAACAAAAGAAAGGGGAATCTACCTATGCCTCTCAAAGTTATCAGTATGTCTGCAATCTGATCTTGACTTCATAATTTTCAGACAAGTGTTTCTGGCCAGGCTCTTGCACTTGTGGGTGAGCACACGCTGAACGACTGCATTGCTGAAAATGATCTGCTGCAACGACAACAGAGCTGGAAAAGCTTCCCAGAAGTAATAAATAATGCACTGGATTTGAAGATGCATTTGATCTTTTGTGCAGGCATATCAAAATGCTAAGACTGTTTGGTCACCTACGTTCTAGGGAAACAAGATTCCACGACATACATGCAGATCTCACACCAAATATAACCTCTCCTAATGAAGGTAATCATCTCCACAGAGAAAACAAAAATGAGGAAAATCCAGGCACAGGAAAAGTAAAATGGACTATACAAAGAATGTGACGATTCCCAATTCAAATTATAGATTGCCAGTTCTAAAACTGATTTAAGAGAATCTGTCTATAGGAAAGACAAAACTTGGTATTAGAATAGACCTACCTGTAAAGTCATTGCAATGTGTTTCAAAATTCTAAGAACTGATTTCTGAGAACTCTGAAAACCTCTTTTTTTCCCCCTTTATTTCTGACAAATCTGTACATAGTATAAAAGCTGTCCTTGTATATTAAGCCTAATAAATGTCAAGGGCAGCAGAATTCTTCTCTTACCATTCTCAATATATGCTAAGATAGACAAACTCCCTCCCCTTCATTGACGGCCCAAGTTAAATAAGTTTGATAAGTGCAATACAAAAACAAACCAAAACCATTACACAGAACAGCTTCCGAATTAGGCATAAAGTTTAAAAACCGCTCCCAGTCTCACCACAGCTTCTGAAGTGGATTCAACTTGTTGTATCTCAGTTTTGGGAATTTTCTCACACAATGTATGCAGTTTTAATTTTTCAAATAATACCTGTATTAGGAAAAATATAAAAGAAAAGTTTCAGTGTTTCCAATCCTGAAAGCAGAATGGAATATGTTTGAACTTAAGTTTCAGAAAACAGATTTCCAGGAGAATCTAGCTAATCATGCTTTAGCAGGGTGAATAGATCATACGATCTCCAGAGGTCCCTTCCAATCACATCTAACCTATAACTCTGAAAACAGAGCTGAAACAAATAGAGAAATAAATATATAGAATTTAAAAGATCAAATTATTTCATTATTTGTAAAATTAGTGTATTTGCCAAAATCATTTTTCTTGCAAGCGATTTCAACACAGATTAGCCAACATTGTCAAATTTATGACAAAAATGTTGTATCCTCCATTACAAACAAAAGACAATAATTTTTATGTAAAAAGATTGCTGAAGTTGTAACAACAACTTTATATGCTTTATAATTCTTCTGTATTAAAATTGCCTAATCTTAATAGTGTAGGCATTACCTCTCTAAGCTGAGCACTGCTCGTCACAAGGAACTGCTCTCCAGCCACTTGATGGGCTTCCTGCTCAAGTTCTTTCAGTCGCAACTAGAAATAATTAATTGGAGTTATTCTGCTCCTAGGTTAATAAGTATATTGAAGTTCTAGCTACAAATTGGTACTTCCTAAATGCATAATCAGTTTGGGCTATCAATATTTGTTTCAGTGGATTGCTCATGTACTCTTCAAGCCATGTTTCACCACAATCTGAGAAGAGGATTTACTGCAGTAGGAAGTACCAAAATTTCAAGGAAAATAATTTAGATTTTTGATGGATGATGAAGGTCTGTCAGAAGCACAGCTATGCAAATTATTCTGGCAAACTTCTGGTAAGCCTGCCAGACCACTAAGATTATTTATTTAGACTTCAAAAAAGCATATTCTTGTTATGTTGCAAAATTGTGTTCTCTTGTATGTATTTTAATTGACCAGGAAACAACAAACTTAGAACTATAAGAATACATAACTTAGAGTGTTTTATAGGCAAAACATACATATATAGAAATAGCTATCTCTTCTCAGAAAGATGGTTACTAGTAACTGTAAAATATTCAGTAGGATTTCTATTCTACAACACATCTAAACTAAAAGAAGCAAGGATTTGGAAAGCATTCTTTGTATGGGGCAAGGCCAATGAGGTAAATGTGCCTCTAACTTCTACAGATAAAACAGAATTATCCTAATATGCAGACTTTGTTACCTATGTTTGTATATAAAAATCTAAGAAACCCAAAACTTGAGTTGGAAAACATGACAAAACAGAAAAGATTTCTCTTTTTAATGCAGTTATTCTCCATATCCAATCAGAAAAAAAATCTCCAAGAAAAAAGACCAGTAAAATTTACCCCCAAAATTTCTGATGTTTTTTTCAGTTCTTGTTTGTTCACATGTATTTTGTGTGTCTCCATCACTGTAAATACAAATACGTATTGAGAACAATTATATACCTCTTTAAAAAAAAGTGTATTGTTATACAATGAACTAAGCACTACAATAAGAAAGAAAAACTTAAGATTCTATTTTCCATTTGACACTGACTTGCTTGAGACCCTGATCAACTTGGCTGTGTCCAGTTAAATGCTCTAAATAAAGCATGAATGATGTCTGTAAAGTGCAAGACAAAGTATGTAAATAGCTTGACTTTTAGCGGGACTTGTGGCAAAAGATTTAAATACATTTAAATAAGCATTTTTTTCCCTAAGTTTGGGCATTTACAGTTCATGCTTTTGATCTTACATGCCTTTTAGTCTGTAAAATGGAAACTCTGGAACTCACACAGGTTTCCGAAGGAAAGGCAACATTTTGTATTCCAAGTTATAACATTCTATTAAAATATGGTAAGTAGGTTGTGTGAAAATGGTAAAGAATCATATTTGGAACCAAACTTTCATACCTGCCAGAATTTTGATCAGTGGAAGCTCTAATGTGCAAAATAATTTCCACAAACCTTGAACCTGTAAAGCAAGACGGAAACACAATCATCAGTACCAAAGAATGTCATTTAAAATGTATGTATGTGAACCTATTTTTCCAGCAAGTAGTATTTCATTTTTATATGACAAGATTGCTTGTGGAATGAAATATCGCTTAGTATGAACTAAGATACCTAAATACAGACCATTTTATCATTTTGTGGGGAGAAGTACAGGGATAGTAAAAAAAAAATATGCATCTCTTTTCTAAACTGTTGAATTTCAGAGTAAGCTCCATTATAATAGTGCCTACACTTGTGTCTTTTCTTTTTTCACATGAACAGTTAATCAATGACTCAATATGCACTGTTTTATTGCCATTAGGAAGAAAACAATGAGCAATGTACACTGTTTCTTTATAAGAGCAGGCAAATCTTTTTTTCCTCTAATGAAGCAATCGGGCAGCAACATCCATCTAGAAACTCCTCCTGTAGGGTGGCTATCTGTGCTCCTGAGTCCTTGGTGTTTCCCCGTTGCCCTCCTTTGCAGACTGTCTCATCACGCTGCTGGGCCACTTACATGTACAGACTAGTACCTAGAACACTAATACTCTTGTCAGTAAATCTCAGCCCTACACTTGCTGTATCAATTTCAATGAAAAATACTAGAATCTTATACTGTACCATCCATTGGAACCTGAACATAACTCTACATTCTGATACTCTTCCAGCCATATGACTACAGGGAAAAAAAAAAGGAGTAGTAATGCTTAACACAATCTACTGAAGTTTTTGCTCCCAAGAAAAACACATTATAATACTCTTATCTGTAACAAAAACCAGCTACATGATTTTTTAAGAAATAGGAAATAGAAGATCATCCCATATATCTTCAAAATGCCAAATGAAAATATAGTCTCAATCTAAACATTTCTTGCTCTTAGAATATTCATATAAATGTGTAAATTAACTGTTCATAGGAAAAACTATTCTAAAGATTATCCTAAGACTAAATGCTTCCCTCTAGTAAAAAGTAGATTTATTAGACAACATTTTAATGTTGACCAGAAGTGTAAATCAGGAATGTTTGAACCTTCCATTTCACTTGTACAGATTCTGATCTGAATGAGGCACATCACCAATGTTTTCTAGTTCCTCTTACTACTGCTGAAATTATCAGGATTTCTTCTTTTCAAATTTTACCTGTAAGTCATGAGCAAGATCCATCATTACACTGTAAAGTTTCTCCAAATGTAAACCTATGTTTTGATACTGAAAAAAAATCAAGACTATTATTAACAAATTCAGAACACTATCTGACCTAAAAGAGATTAAATTGTAGATTTTTCCATATTTGTCTCCTATTACATTTAGCATTTTAGCAATATTTTTAGAGTTGTGATAAACACAATTCAGACACATGCAGAAATGCAGACACGAGCATTCAATATTTTACCTGTTCAATAATTTACATTCTGCACAAGTATGGAGAAATGGTACCACTATGCTACCTTTGACGCTGAGCAAGAATTCTAATACTACTTCTAAAATACAGAAAATCTGGTTTGCAGTTTCATTTCTACTGGCAGAATTGCCCCCTTTCATGTGCTTTCCTACTATTTCAGCAAGCCCAGAACCGAGAATGAAAGACACAGTTATGTGAGGCACAGGGCAGTAGCATTTGCAGATCCCTGTCCATGACAGTTTAGGAAAAATCTGTAGAAAATAGAACTGTAGGGTGCTCAGGCTTATTATTTTGTTTGACAACATCAGCTTAATATACATCAGATGGAGGATCTGTTAAGAGCTGAACTCAATAGTGAAGCCAATAGAACGTTCACCACTTCAAAAGACAAACTGATTAAAATTACTCATTCTCTCTCTCAATAGCAAAAATGCTGGAGACTGACCTAGATTTGACTACATACTTGCTGAAATGGGTACTCCAAGATCGTTTATATTAAATTAACATAGGCAGAGTTAGAGCTCAACTTAAAATCTGCTTTCCACATGAATTTCATCTTTCTGTCAAGAATGGAAAACACTGATTGACAGGAAAGCACATGGCCATGAATTCCAATGGAAGACTTCCAAATTGGAGGGGAAAAAAAAAAAAAAAAAAACCCCACAAAATCTGTTCCTTGACCATTTTATAAGTAAACTTGGTTTACTTATACTGGGTTTGTCTTAAACTTATATATACTTTGTAAGTATACTTATAACCTGGGTTTGTCATTCATTCAATTTGTGTTTTAAAGGAATCGTAGTGGTTCTAAGTCTATTTTATTATTTCCATTCCTATCTTTGAGCTGATGGAGCATTAGGCTGAGACTCTTCTGCTAAGAGTTGCAAAAAGTCTCTTTTCTCTACAAGCCTCCACTTGTCCTCCAGCTTCCCTCCTTCCTGCCTTACTTCCTTCATTAAATACCTATAATTAAAAATATATATGGTAATTTATTATACAAATCATGTATAATGATTTATAATATGTATGGGAATTATGCAAATCATGAAATGTTGCAGCTACATCAGCAGGCATTTCTGACCAGCATGGGAACTTAGTCATGTTGATTCAACATCAATTTTTAAGAAAAGAGGGGAAGTGTCTAGGTAGCAGAAGAATGGGAGACACTTCGTACTTATAGGAAGTCAAAATTCATTCTAGAAGCAAAACTGATAACGTGTGTACGGTGCCTCAAGTAACAAAACATTAGCAAAATAAAATTTTAAAATTTCAAAGAAAAAGATCATACATAATTGCCTTAATAGGCTTGCCAATACATGCATCCCTCTACTATTGTGCTTATGATATTGGGAAAGTAACTAGCTTTAAAATACACCCCACCTCATTCTCCTTGATATCAGCCACACAGAAATCGCCCTCTTGCCTTAAAAAATGCCCTTTTTATCCTTTTCTCATCACTAGATTAATGTCATGGTGGGGTGTTTTTTTTTTTCTCTTTTTTTTTTTTTTTTTAAATGTAAACCTGCGCATGCATGCTAGTCACTACTTACAAGTTTCTCTTCATGGATCTTTTGGACTCTGGCTTCAAATGGTTTAGTTCTTAATTATTTGCCAAGATCATTTCTTGCTCAGTTCCATTATGATACCCCAAGGTGCGCAGTGCAGTGTGTGCCAATTGCCCTGAACTCCACTGCATGTTAAAAGAAGACGCAACTATTTCTCTATGGGTAAGTATGTTTTTAGTCAGAAAACTATTACACAGCAATGAATCTGCTTCACTCTGAGCAGGTAAGTATTATTCTAGTCTTTCTGCTACATAAAAGCTTTAATTTCTTGTTGTAAACACCTCTGCAATATTTTTCATAATAAAACTCTACACTGAGTTATCTTTAAACGTTATTTTTAACTTTTCTACTCTTAACTGATTCAAGACCATCTTATTTGTACAGCTGGTTGTTTGCTTTGAGCTACAAAAATAAAGTTTCACTAAACAACAAACTAATCTTCTGGTTAATAGATTTCTTTCAAATCCTAATATTTAAAGGGTAAAGAAAAACTAGTAACTCATGTGTAATTCATAGAGGGGGGAAAAAAAAGAAGAAACAAGAAACAGATTACAGAGAGGAGTGGATTGGATGGATACTCTGTGTGATTCTGTGATACTAGTCTAGTAAAACCTGGGCTGGAATTTGTAAGAGTGAAAAAAATGGAAAAGGGAGATAAACTGGCAAAAGAGGCTCTGATTGAAATGCAGAAAAGAGGAGATATTAAATGAAATGATGAATGTATCTGCAGGGCATGCAGGGAGAAAAAGAAGGAAAGCCACCCAGTCAGTCAGCCAGCCAGCAGAAGGAAAACGATGTCAACTGCGAATAGTGAGCAGAATAGACTAGAAAAGGTCACTGTGTGTCCACGTACCAGGCTAGTTCTTTCCTAACCTCTGCACAGCACCACAGTGCTACCCTCTGGCCTCATGCACACCTCTGCATGCCCTCTTATCAGTTTCTGATGGTGAAAAATAGGCACCAGGAGCAATATATTGGTTAAATATAAACTGGGAGTTTATATATAAGCAAGGAGTCAGCAAAAAAGCACTTGGAAGCCTTTCCAAGTGTAGGGCAAGAAAATAAAATTAGACCTAGAGGAGTTTAAAACAAACTACTTACCAGTGCATTTCTCAGAGAACCTGTGTCTGTATTTACTTTTTTCATGGAAAAAGACTTTTCAAAATACTTCTGGATTAAACACTCAAAAGAGGGAACTGTGTCACTAGGGTTTATCAGCCATGCTGCAATTCTTGGATCTAAGATGACACTGTCAGCAACTACAAAAAATATAAATATTATTTTTGTTTTAATCAAAATATTTCCATTACTTCCAATATTACCAAATATTTGCAAAGATTTGCCCACCTTTCCTACAGATACAGGTCATAAAGGGACAAGCACATAAGCTACAAGAACATTAGAACACTGAACTGGCAGCTGCAATCTATACCATGACTGCATAGGAATAAGCTCAACACTAAAAAGAAAATTTGGGGGAAAAATTGTAAAATTTGTAAATTTTACATTTTTTTACTTTTATTTTTGTAAAAAAAAAAAAAAGTGGCTTGTACAAGTCTCTCTTCCTTATCCCTGACAAATCTCAAACTGAAGTTTTTCTTATGGGCATGTCAGAAGCAGTTTTGCTGTTGACGTTACCCGAGTCAACATCCATTACATTGGTATAGTGGGGGCAGTAGATTTACTTCCCAGTAATCAGACTTTTGAGTTCTGCAATGCATGTATAAATTCACATATTGGGTGCACAACACTGTTCTCATAATGAGAACCTTTAGTCTTGCTGAAACTTCTGTCCTTATGGTGCACTTTCACTCATATTCATCTAGTTACCCAAGATGGTGCAAACCTAGTGCTATTTCATTTCCCTCTTACCCACAACAGCCACATATTCATGGTAGTACCACAAAGAAAGTGACAGAAACTAGTCAGAATTGAGATATAACCAAGTATAAGCATAAGTAACCTCTTAAGTAACCATTAAATATTTTTAACTATTACTTAAATGACACCTCTTGGGTACATTTATCACTCAGTGATACCTAGAAGCAAGTTTTAATGTCCATAATGCAAGATACAGCTGCAGAACTACCCCAAGTAAGAGCTGTACTAGCCTTGTTTTCCTCTAACGGTACAATTGGTGCTGAAAAGAAATCCATGTGGCTGCTCAGCAGATGTTAGGATGGGAGACACTCAAGCGGCTTAAGCTCTGCTGGAGTGCCCTCAGAAAACTGAAGGGTGCTTCATGTGCAGGGCCTCACATGGATAGATGATGTAGGTTGTTATCCCCTTCTTTCAGTGGAAATAGCTCTTCATCTCAGAAGCTCGCAGATGCCAAGGAACAGCCTCGGAAATCGTCTCACTCCTAAGAGCAAGGGACTAAGGGGGCTCTGTCATTCGGAAGGACGCTCTTGGCCTTGGAATCACACAGCTGAGGAAGTCTGTGCAGCTCAGAATTCACTCCAAAAGGAATCCTGGATCTACAGGATTTCCACTGCTCCTTCAGCAAGAAGCGCTACAGAATAAACCAGTCTTTGACAACTGCAGCAGACAGGTTTGCCAGCAACACAGATGATGCATTGTGAAGAGGCAAACAGAGCAATGCTCCAGGCAGCAGATGGAGTAGGAGAATGTCTAAAAAGCTGCAGAAAAGCGCTCTCTTCAAGCAGGGCGACACTGGACATTCACAAGCTCAGGACTTCATGAAATAAGCACTGACTTCCCTAATAAGAGTAAGGGAATCTTACCACAGCTACATGGAAGAAAACTGCAACAGAATAGCCTTGGTGAGATCTCCTAACAATCCTTTTTTCACATCTTTGCTTATGATGAGCACACAAAACAGGCTCTAGTGAAAAAGGACGAAAGAAATCAAACATCCCTGGCTCATCTATCCCTTCTTCCCTGACAGGAAGGATAGTAGCAATGAGAACTAGCCAAAGTCCTGAGATGCTCGATTCAGAGAGCAAGAATATATGGGAACAGAAACCTCTGCCAACTTTCTCTGGAGAGTAACCCAGGGAATAGACTTAAGCCTATGACTCAGCACTGCAGGATTTAGTAGGTACCAGTGCAGCACAGTAAGATCACACCAGGATTAGACCCATCCAGGCAATAGGGACTAAGAAGGTTATCATCAAACACTGGAAATGTTTCTGTAAAACTCTGATCATCTCTTCTATTGTTTCTGTGTTAACTGGGAGGACAACAGTTGGAATCACATTGTCACTTAGACAGTAAAGAGAATAAATGTGAGGTCAGCAAATGGAAAGTGGCCACGAGGTGTCCTTACAAAGTCAAGACCACAGAAGCTTCCCCTCTTCTCTGTAATAAAAATAACTGGCACAAAAGATACAACTTCAGTAATGAAGAGGTGAAAACAACAAGTTCCACACAGAGGAAGGCTGCCTGTAACGGAGCGCTCTCAGCAGCAGGTGAGGGCTTCTCGTGGCACCAGACAAGCTATGACCAGGAAACCAACCTACCACCCTTAGTGACAGAGCTAGGGGTTCCACTCTCAGGAGCATCACCCTACGTCTCTTTAAGCTCATAATGACATCTCAGTGCTTGCTTCACTTGGCAATGGCAGGATTTTATCTTTAGAACACACAAGTTACACAAACTATTTCTTACCATGGCAGAGACGTGAGTGAAAAAACTTGTGTACAACTTCTGAGGCTTAAAGAAATTAAACAGGAATTCTTTGCTGTTCCTTCAGATTAGTATTCTGTGACTCAGAGGATAACACAGATCTACTATTTCCTATCATGAAATCTTCTCCAACAACAGTTCCATTACAACATTCTCACTGTGTGCACAATTTTCCCCCTTTCCCAGGGCTAAATAGCCTTTCTACAGATCCTTGGACCAGATCCTAAGCAAGTTCAAATAAACTGCAAGTTTATTGTCATTTTCTGATGATGCCTTTCAGATGCTGAACACAGCACGTAGAAAGAGTGCCCTCTAAAGGGACAAAAAAATGTCATGTTATAGGTCCACCCACAGATCAAAAAAAAATCATTATTTTTAGATCTTAATTTACTTTTTTTTAAACCATACACAAGAGTCTTATTTATTTCTATCAACTAATTGAGGACCCAGTCACACAATTTCCAATTTTGACAGCTGTGAACCTTTCTGGATTTTATTTTAGCGTCTCCTCTTGAGCAGAGGGAGTTTTCTTAGGAACACAAAACATGAAGCAATTGGATCTTTTCAGCTGCAGTCAGCACTTCGTCAAAAGCTTTCATTTTCCACTCAAAGTTGTCCTTAGTTATTCACCATTTTATTCCTACTCCTGGAAGAAATACATCATCTTGACATATCACCTCCCAGAAGGAGCTTTCTTTTCCATGCTACTAGAAGTCTGTTTTCCCAAATATTACTCAATCTCCCAAATATTATTCAATCTAGTTACTTCTATATCTAGTAATTTTAACAGAAACATTACCAGCAAAGACAGCATAGGATTCAATAATAAATTAGTTCCAATAGTTACCTTGTTTCCAGCTAATTTCACTATCATAAACTGCAAGTAGCGTCCTCAGGAAATCTTTTGCATTGAAGCAAATAACTGGAACTTTGCAATGCAGCATTTGAAATAATATTTGCCTGCGTAAAAGAGATCAAATAACAAGAACTATGTCTTGTAACTATGTAGGGAACACATTTAATTTCACTCATGCATTTAATCAGTACCACTAAACAGTTAATACAGGGTTTTTCTTTATTCCTGGAAGAACAGGATACCTTAGCTTAATATTTAGTTCTCAGTTTAATAATGCTAGAAACTTCATTTGGCTCTAAATGAAACATATTCACAGATGTGCTTTATCATACAGTCATAAAGAAAATAAATCTTTACTTGACATTCAGAATTAAAGGCAAGTTTAACGCAAAGCAGCAACTGGCATCCCTGTAATATTTCAATGTACCCAAACAGATTCACAGAGGATTCTGATTAAGTTAATCAAGGTTAGTAAAATCACAAATTAAAAATTACTGCACAGCCTAAATTGTCACAATTATCTACTATTAACATGCTGTTCAAGTGCAGAATGCTTCATCTTATGTTGCAAGTTCTCTGACCATGCTGTTTGAAATAGAAATATGTATAATCTGTGCTAACTCTGAGTGTGGTATATTTGAGTAGGTCTATTTTGAGCAATATAAGAAAACAATTGTTACTTAAAGAGCTTTCAAGATTATTTATCTTTGTTAATATGAAACAATAGCAAGCTTTTAGACAGATCAAAATTTGTCAGATCATATGATCTTATTTTACACTACATAGGTCCAATGTTACGTATCTCCACCAATCTAAAACCTAATAAAATTAACTTGTTTATTCTTGAATTCCTTTTATTCACCAGAACTTGATGTACTAATATGTCGACCTTAATTCCTAACAATCTATAATCAAACTAGCAACAAATTAAAAGATTACTTTTTATATTTCCAGTATTACAACTGGAGAAATAAAGATAAGTGAAGTGACTTGTGCTGGAAGAGTAGAAGCTAGGCAGCTAGAAAGCAAGTCAAAGATCTTAAAAATAAATTGTTGATGCTACATAATTTATTTAATTAAGCTGCTATTAGTTATGTGTCAAGCCTGGGCTAAGGCAACCAACATGGACTTCAAGCACAGGGAGATTAAACCTGGACTAATGTGTAATCTGTAAGAAACAACAGACCCAACATTATAGTTGCTAACAACATACCTAAAAAAAACCTTATTTTTTCCTACACACACTCACCCAACATACTTCTTGTGAGTCTCCTCTTGTTTCCAAACGGATGAACATTCCATTTTTAAATAAAGTAATTTATCATTTTGATTAGAAGCATCCCAAGTATAGGCAGTTGAAGAGTTACTGGGAGAGCAAAGGCAATTTGTCTGCCTCTTCACTAAGACAACAATTCCTTTTACTGATGAGGTTAAGACCTGTCAAGTACAATAATAATAGTGTTCCCTCAGACAAATTTACACTATCCTATAGAAAAAAAAAATCCACACATATTTTAGGATATGAAGCCCACTGATACATGCGTTACTACATACACTATGAACATTTATGTTATGTATGACAATATTTGTATATTGTCATACAAATGCTTCAGATTTGCAACAAAAGTCACTGTGATGGATGCACTATAAAACAGAAAAGGTGCTAATTCAAACATTCTCATTTTAGCACGCAAATGAATATTCAGCCTAAATGATTCCCTTTTCTGCAGCTTTTACTTGGTAAAAAAAATGTAGTCAGAAGCATTAAGGTTTCCCTCCTACATTTACATTTTGGTAAGCAACATCCTACATAATTGTTCCAGATTCTGGACATTTAACAGTTTTCTGTTTATTGAAATCACATGCAAGTTTCAAATATCTCTGAAAAACTAATTATGCCTAAAACAGATGATTCACTAACCTGTTCTGAGTTGAGCAGTGAAGAACCATCTTGAAACACCATAGTAGTTACAAATGCCCCTGCCTGTTTTATAGTTGCAATCAATTCTCTTTTTTCTTCATATCTCAAACTTGTGATATCCCGAGGACAATTCTCGGATGACTCTGCTTTACCAGAAGCCCAATTATACCTTCCTTCATATGAAGGCAAGGAGTTCTTTACAAGAAATTTTCTTGTTTTCTCTGAGCAAGATGTACATGCATCCTGCTTTCTTTTAAGGGATGTAGCTACATTCTCTTCACCATTCTTCACTTTTTTTGCTTCTACTGAGAAGTTTCTTTCCCTGTGTACCCATTTTGGCAAGCCTGGATCCTGGTAATGTACAGGGGCACTCAAAGCAGACTGTGACAATGAAGAGCCCGCTGTTTTGGTCTCTTGACCATGAAACGTTTTGTTGACAGGCACTGCCCTGGCTGTTTGAGCAGCGGTAATTTCTTCAGAGTTGATAGAGGTGTTTATAAGCACAGAATCACAAATCTTCTGGAAAAAAAATGCATATTTTTTATTGAACCAATTATTCAACTTATTATGAGCCGTAAAAACAGACATCCATGAGTTAATTTGGAAAAGCTCTTCAGAAAGTGACATTCCATGAAAAAATGTTATTGATGCTAACAGACCAAAGAGATAGTTTGGGGAGGAGAAAGGGAGAAGACAGACTATATTATAGGACGTGAAATTCAAATATATATCAAAAAAAGGTTAATTTGATTTATATTGCCCGTGTTAATAACCACTTTTTTGTTGTTAATTCAATACTGACAATGCCAACTTGGCAGACAGAACAATCATTTAGTCTACTAGTCCGTCTAATAAAGCGAGCGGGACACCAGCAACGTTTGTCTGAAGAAAGAGGTGAACATTTATTGCCATGTCTGGCTTTAGCATTCAGAGCTTTTTTTTCACGACCACTTAGGGTCTTAAAGAACATCTGCTTTAGAATGACTGCTTTGCAGATTCAAGTTCACCGGGCCACCTGATCTCTACTAACTTCTTTGAAAAACTTACCCATCATAAAACCCAACAAAATATATACAGAAGTTGTATGGGAATAGTATTATCAGGCATAGGGATAAATAATCTATTCCATTCTATTTAAAACCAGTGGGCCTAGAAGAGCTATCAAGATGGCTGGTCTTTTGTACTCCCGACACCTCCAGATCTCTTTTTAGCACCTATTTTCTTTTCTTCTGCTACTGAACAGCATTAAAGAAAATATTACATGCCAGTGCTGTGATTCTGTCATCACTCTTGATTTCTTTTAGTGAGTTCCTATCTATCTATATATATATATATACCCACACATGCCCACACATATACATATATAGCCTCGTGTGTGTGTATTTATAATATATATATATTTCCCATAAGGCTTTATACAGTTAATAAAATAAAGCTGGTAGTTTAATTTATGCAGGCATTTAAAATACTAAATGATATACTGATTTAGAAATTATACAAAGGCCACAGAATCTTACCACTCTGCTGCAGGCCATGTGGGCATTACATGGGCCACATTGGCTATGGATGATGCAAGAGGACAGTTCACATAACACAAGCCATTTCCATCTTGCTCTGAAAAGTGGTCTGCCGGATTTCAGGGAAGTTCTTTTGAGTGTCAAGGATTTTTCAGTGATAGAGATTTATGAACATTTTTTAAATCCTTACACCTGCCTGAATGCAGTTACCTTATGTATTTCTAAGCAATCTTGCCATGAGAGACTAATTTCCTGTTAAAAGGAGAAATGCAGCATTGCAAGGCTCACAGACATAAGTGCAACACAAGAGAACAGAGAAAAGTTTTTATCTGCATCATGAGTATGCACAACTCAGTGACATGTCCTCTTAGAAAAAAGTATTCTATAAAAACTGTTTTGATAATTTCTTCACTCTTACAGTATGCCTTAGAGCTTGCCTTTTCATTTTCCAGATGCGCATCATTATCACCTAGTTTATTTTCCTTTGTCTTCTCTATACCTTTAAAAAAAGAATGCAAAAAATTTTACAATACGGTCACCTTTACAAAGGTGACAGCAATATACATAATTTAGCTAACATACAGTGTTAAATCCTTCACATTTTTACCAAACAAAATATTTGCAATCGAGTTTTCCATGGCAACTGTTTTCCTCAAATTAATACCACTTATGCTAAAAATGGCCCTTCATGTTCTTAAATGTGCGTATGTAAAAATGCGTCCTTTCCCCATTAAAAAAACAAAAACAAACAAGAACAACCACTTTGCTACCAAGCAGACAAATATTATATTCACTCTGTTCTCAAGAACCATTAGCATAAGACTACAATTATTGTGGGGGAGGAAAAAAAAAAATAAAGACATACATTTCACACAGCTTATCTGTTTTGGGGGAATTAGGATGAATTTTCTTCTCCAAAATTTTATTCTGTACAATGCTTTATTTACATACACATCTTTACCACACCAAGCCCTGCAGAGTTGTGCATGTTCCACCTTGGGAAGACAGATTTTTTTTTTACTTTGTTTATCCTAGCAAGAACATGTTACCATGAGGAAAGAACAACAGAGAACAAGAATTCAGATATATGAAAACTGTAGGGAGTTTATATAATGACAGGCTAATATACTGACTAACACAACAAGAAAAGAGAAGGCTCACTAGAAAACCTCACTATTAAAAAAAAAAAAAAAAAAAAAGAAACCTCACTAGAAAAACATGTATTTTTTACCATTCTAATTCCTGGTCCATATGGAGTATAATATTCAACCACTCTTTTCACAGATCAGCTATAAAATTTGCATTACCCTCAGCAATCCATATTATGAAAGTGAACATCTCAAACACGCCAATAACCAACATCTAACCAAATATAAGGGAAATTGCTCCCATTTACTGAGTTCAGTCTTTAAAAATTTTAACAAGGTAAACCAAGATCAAATCATCTCAGACTATAACATGAGCTTTATAAATAAGAGATCGAGCATTGCTGTATCTGTAGCTTCAAACGTTTGAGATTAGTTTTTCTTGACAGGACATTTAGCAACACTACTGTATAAACAGTTTGTATACTGCATAGTAACATGTATAGTAACTCAGTTTACATTCACTTTTTACATGTCTTTACAATTACATTCACTGCTTCATTACATCTAGTAACTTTTTCTTTACAAATTCAGCTTGCAGGGACCATAAGGGTTTCATTTCTCTCTCTGAATACACAGTACTCAACATGACATGTATCTAAACACGCAGGCAACCTCCAGCTTTTAATTTATGAAAAGCATCACCAGATGGCAGTAGAAGCCCATTCTTACCTTCAAAGTCCTTTTTAAGGCTGAACGGGCCTATTACAGGCACTGCTGCCAAGACAACCTTAATTTCAACCACTATTACAACATCGCAGATATTTCTCTTACCTGAGCACAGTATTGATCACTTAAAGACAACTAGATTTTTCTTAAGTAGAATTTAATTTAAAGATTCTATCAATAAAATGCAGTTCAATACAGTTGAAAACAGACCAACTTGATGTTTAAGGTAGTCACATTTTTTCTCTTTGGTCAGCTATTGCTATTCCTAAAAGCAATTCAAGTTGTACATTTGTTCTTAAGTCTGTATGCCAGAAACAATCATAAGTAATCACTAAACAGGAAACAAGAACAAAAAAGCCAGTCATGGGGCATGTGCAATACTAAATGCTTACACAGATCTTTCCCTCCCCAAGTAAGGATTTAGGAGAGAACAAGCTCATTTGGCTAAAGCTACTGGATTCCTTTATGTTATATTAAAAAAAAAAAAATACAGCTTGGCAAGAGTTAATAGATCAAGAGCAGATAATACAGCATGAGGCAGGGAGTTCATAGCTGTAAAACAGGGAACACTGAACAGGGAAATTATGGAGAAGAAATCATAAGTAAAAAGCAATTATATTAATACAGAACAGGGATCTGATTTTCTGTAAATAACTTTTTTTAAAGATTAGTCTGAATTACTACTTATGCAAAACCAAGGTTGCAGTGACATGATGCACGCAGTAGTGAGACTTAAATCTAGTTAGCCAAATAATGTTTTGGATTACAGCTGAAAAGTAGTTTTCAGAATACTGAAATTAAGCAAAAAATCCAGCTTTTATTATCAGGTTATTTCTCAGGCTCCCAGACTGACAGAAGAAAACATGTTTGAGATTTAAAATTTCACCTTCCAAGACCCTCCTACCATCCACTGTGTTCTGAGCAAAGCATTGGGCTTTGCTCAAGGACCTGCTTAGGCCCTCCTAACCTGCCCTGCTTTGCTCCATCTCTGGGACTCCTGCTAGCTCTTCCTTTGTAATTTCACACATTTTAGGCGCTGTTTTACTAACAAATGTGCATTTAAAAACAGACACAAATTTAGTGAGCTCTAGGCATTCTTGCAAGTTCCCATCTTTTCCAATCATCTTCAAATATCTGGTCCAGATTATAGTTAACATATACATTTATTAGTTAATTCACAGTTTGAGCTTGGCTGTATGCAGCAAAAATGGTTAAGAGGAAAGAAACAGTGCAATTGAGGATAGTTGCCAGATCCTAGGTGCTTGTGCAGCATTATTAATCAGAAGAATCCCAGAATATTTCTCTAAGTCATTACAGCTAAAATCAGCATTCAGCAAACACACTCTACCAAAGTACCCTGTAACTATCTGTATTTGAATACAGATATAGATATATTTGATTTTACATACACAACCAAGTATACGTACAAAGTATACAAAGAGAGGTGACTAGAGGTCTACGACTAGAGGTTTAAAGGCCAAGCCATGTGATGAGGTGGGAAGACCCTGAGCACCTGGAGGATGGTGAGACAGGCTCATTACTTTGATTTTTTTTTATTTTTTTTTTTTTATAGAAGTTAGACACAGGGATTGTTTCTAGGTTTTTCAAACCTGATATTTTCACTGCAGTGTCTATCCTCTACACAAAAACTTTTATTTGCACTTTTGCCACATCTCTCAGCTGCAACTATAGCTCAAAACGTTTGGAATCAGTTTAGTTTTTATTTTTCATCTGAAAATGGAAATACTTAAACAGACCAAGGTTTACTCACTCCGGTCATTTTTTCTGCTAGTCTGAGCTTCTGCTACAGGAATAGACCGCAAAGCTGACATAATCCTCTGAGCGATATCAGATAAAGGCACTTTAGAAATCTCACATCCTACATATGATGTGCAATGCTCCATTTTTATGATTAAACCTAAACACAGAATATACATATACATAAATATTCAAAATATTAGGGCCACAAAATACAAATTTTATTAATAAAGTACTAACTATATCTGTAATATACCCCCCCAAACACAGTATCTTTAAACAAGTGTATTGCTAGTGAACACATACATTTACTAGGTTACTGCTATGTGTTCCAGGATATAAATATGTTGCTCACATTCTAAGAAAACAATACATTACTTCACGAAAGAACTGAAAAACAAAAACAGATAAAACAAAAAAGGGTTACTATCATCTATCAAATATTTTTCACCAGAAATCACATAACTACAAAGAGACTCCACTATTCCTTAAATTGTCATTGATATAATCACGTACTAATCAAAATATTAAAAGTTTCTATAGTTCATTTCTTGATTTGAGAAATCTCTTTCATATGTTTTTCTATACAAAAGGTTATTTGCTAAAGAATAATATTGACGATCCATGCAAGTTTTTACTGAGGTTATTACTGTCCTGAACTTTATCCTTTAATGCTTTTCTAGTTGTAACTTTTCTAGTTGACCTGTAGTCATATTCTGCAATGTGTCTAGAAAGAGTACCAAGATCTTTGGAAGAATTAAAGATACTCATAGAGATTTTTCTTAAATTAGGACCACAGAGAGATTGCAAGTTTGAGTATTCACAAATACAGACACTGTATATGAATTCAAAGTATACCTATACAGCTACATTACTATCAGTTAGCTTATGTCTATCTCAAACACACCTAGACCTATATACGTAATATCTGTCCCAAGATCTTTGTAATAGTCCTTAATTTACAAGCCCATTATCAGTTAAAGACTTGAGAAGAATCTCAAAATTCTTGGTAGTGCCTAGTACGTTACTAGCAGCAACTGGTCCCAGACAGGGGAAATTTCTAAAGCCTAGCAAATGAACAGCATAGCATTTAAGAGCCTTAAACAAAGAGGGAGGTATCCTAGCAGTTGTACTATACATGTATATATAGCTGTACACATACTATACACATGACCATAACCCTTGAAGAGAAAGTATTCTGATAATGCATGTCATGCAGTCCTAAGAACCAAGGAAACTTTCATGGAAACTACTGAAGGAAATAATGAAAATATACAATTTTGCTGGACAAGACACTGCACTCCAGGGCACTAGCTAGTTTCTTTTGATAGTACACATGCAAATGGGGAAAGGTGAGAGAATGACTTTTTTTTCCTTGACATTATTACACTCAAAAGTATAATTTCTCTCCCCTGCCCACCTTCTTCTGACTCTTTTTATTAAAAAAATAGCAATATTTCTGTCCTGAGCAGAATAAAAATCCTCCTTGAGTTTTCCAAGATGGGCAGTAACAAATCAGGAATCAGGGAACCCAAATTAGGGGAGGAAAAAATAAAATAAAATCAGAACCATTATACTAAACATAAAACATACAACAAGCATTAGAATACACATCAAACCAACATAGAGATTTGTCCAATGTTACAACATTGATCTTAAAGTGTAATATTTAACTTTTAATAATAAACATGACATATAGAATTAAAGAGCACAAAAATCAACCAGCAAGTTTAAGAAACACAGAAATTTAAAACACGTTATGTAATAGGTAGAAATCTGCAATCAAAATACAAAGTTAGTGTTACTGAAGACAAAGTTAGCACTAATTTTCCATCCATTATTGTTGCATGACATTTGAAAGGAAAAAAAAAAGCTGACCCACCAATAACCCATCAATATAAAAAATGACCAAAGGTATTATACTTACACGCATAACATTTAATTACATCACTATATTAGGATACAAGAGTTTAAATAAACAGTCAAAGCAGTGAAAAGAGAATTCCAAAAAACACTAATAATTTGAAGGTCAAAAGCACATTATTTTAAATGATGGAGCAAATTCCCGAGTTGCTCCAACCAAAGATTCTCAGGTACTAAGTCCAAAAAAAAAAAAAAAAAACCACCCACACTCTGCAACATATTCCTAAAAGACACCTTATCTTCAGAGAAACTGGATCACAATTTTTTTGCCTTGGAGAGCTTTCCTATTTGAAAGGGGCAAAGTGTGTTTCCATTCAAAAAGCTGGAATGCCCTCTCTACATTTACTTTACAAATCACATACGAAAAGGTTCTTAGCATGCACAAAGACATATCTCAAGGGCATGAAACCTTGTTTTATACTATGCTGTACATAATGGAAATCAAAACACAGCTTAGCAGAAGAGCATTCCATTATATAACTCATTAAGTACCCAGTGTATTTTCTCCTATCAAAAAAACTTAAATTGAAATACAAACTCAACAAGCAGATGCCAAAACTTATAAAACGGTATATAATCCAAACTTGATAACTGTGGCAGCTAAACATACATTGTAACAACAAATAAATGCTATCTCTGAGCACCTAAGATGTATTTTTTCCATAAACTTGAAAACAGAATGTTTTTCCATATTTTAAGAGTACATTTAAGTTTAAATATCAAGCACTTCATTGGTAGTGAAACTTTGATCTTCTAGAGCAGTGGTTTTCGCCTTAGATTGTTGCTCAAGCTCCTCAACAATCTTTTTCAAGTGGTCCTCATCTTGGAGATAATACACATACAACTTTCTTTCCATCTGAAGCAGCTTATTAGATTCTAAAGCAATTCTCTTTTCCTTTACATCATCAAGAAGATCGATGGTGAGCTTATTTAATTCATTTAAATGACCTTCTATTTCTTGAAACTGATCGGTAAGTTCCTAAAAAAGACAAAGTTTATTACTTTAACATCGTTAATACAAGTATACAAATAGAAAAGCTTTTTGTTTTTAGAAGCCACCTGCTTTGATAAATTACTTTTATTAAAATAATTCATCAGAAGCAACAGAAATACAGGATATAAAGAATTCTATTCCCTTTGTGCAGTTTTTGAAGTACACATACATATACTTGCACAAGGTTAAGAACTTAGTTTCATTTACTTCTCTAGGAACCACAAGAATCTGACCATCTACCTGATACAGATGGTCATGAATGAACAGATGAACAACATTTCTATTCAAGGATTTATAGCCAGTCAAGTCTTAAAGGAAAAAAAGAGAACAAAAAAAAAAAAAAAAAAAAAAGAAACCTTTAAATTGAAGCCTCTAATAAGCAGGTAGAATTTTCTCATTATTATTAATAGCAGGTAGGTTAGTCATCTGCTTGCACATTCTCTCCTAATTAAAGGAAATAAACTACTTTTCCTGAGAAACAGTAGTAGTACAGATATCTCAAGAGAAAGAGATACCATTAAGAGTTAATACTGCTTGAAAAAACAGAATACATATTTGATGGATTTAGTAGCTATAATATCGAAATAGGTATTGTCTTAAACACAAAATTTCATTTTTCAGTAAAAAATGTTCTGTATGTTGCAAATTCAGTTTACAAATGGCAGTTTTTAAATATACTTTTATGTACTGAAGTAAAGAAGCATCAATTAAGGCATAACAGAAGCTTTCTCTCAATCTACTTTAGAACTATTTATTTGGAAATTGTTACAAATTGCATTTAAATTCCTATCTTTTTTTAAAAGATGGTCTAAATGAACACCTAAGAATTCTGTAGTGGGACTTTCCACTTCCCAATTCTGGTGTGCTTATTTTGTCCACAAGGAGCCACTCAAGGCCAGACTTTTTTAAGGGGCAAAACTGAATTATATTAGCTACCAGAGGTAATGGGGGTAATTAATTTCTGAATTAACTTCTTAATTAATTACCTTTCTTAATTAAGAGGTAATTAGTTACTGAAAAGAAAATAATTTTCTATGACATATTAATCATAAAGCATACTTTTCATAAATTTACTAGTAATGGATGGTTGCACTAGCTTTTAAAGGATTAAAAAATGGATGGAACTATTTTCTCAGAATCAAAGCTATCTGCGTAAATATAAATATATTGCAGTGTGCTAAGAACAGTAGAGATCTTCAAAACCTGTCTGAATGTGACCTGTGCCACATGCTCTAGGTGTCCCTGCTTGAGCAGGGGGCTTGGACTAGATGATCTCTAGAGGTCCCTTCCAGTCTCAATCCTCCTCTGATACTGAGCCCATCACACTCATTATTATAATAAAATGCAGTAACCAGTTTGTCAACAATTCATCTTAGCAAATGACACGTATGAACATAATTTTAGAAGCTACTGCATAAGGACTTACCTGACTACTAAGTAATACTTGATTTCCTCCACAATACAGAGCTTCACATAGGGCATCTATATCACTGTTTAGCTTGGATAAAAACAGAGACTGTTCTTGAGAAGACGCTGCTAGCTGATCTTGTACTATAGCACAGTCCTCCTCTAATTTTTGAGCCATCTGCTGGAGGCCTTCATATGTTTTAAACAATTCTACTTTCTTGTTTTTACCTTCCAGAAGCTGGTACAGTCTGTAACAAATAAAGTTAGACACATAAGCACTATGCATTCCAGGCATTATTTGATTAGTGAGGAAGAAGCATTTTCACATTCACTGAAGTTTCAAACTTAGGACTAGCAAAAGACAGAACTGCTCAAGTACTATTACTAAAATGCATTATCTAGTGCATAATTATAAGCCTAAAGTATTTCACTATTAAAGTAAAAAAATATGGAATTTCAAAAATAAGTTCATAACTCACACCAAATGGCAAAGGAAGTTGACAAAATGTGCTTTCACAACCCATTTCTCTATATTTCTAGGGCAGCAAAATAGGACCCAATTTTCTTAAGTGTTGAAAAACAACAGACTTCAATGGCCAATGAAAAATAAGAGAAGTGTCTATGACATTTTCAAGTTAACTGGACTAATTCCCATTTTCTATCTTTGGAGAGACTGCTATGAAATTCTCCAAGAAATTATGAGTCACACAAAAGACAGCAATACTTGCTATACCAAACGGTATTCTTAACCACACGAGGAAGAGTCTAAAATGATTACTTACAACTTTTCTGTTGTTCCTACCAACTCTGCATATTAAAATCATCATGAATTGGATCCCAGTGAGGAATCAGTTTGGCTTTTATAAGAGCAGGAGTTATGTTTCAAAAGCAACCAAGCTTCTTGCAAGAGTCGTCTGTTTACAGACCCTTTAGTGCTTATAATTTTTTTTTTTTTTAACCTCTCTTCATAATCCTGAACACTAGATCCAACCTTTAAAAGGTGGTCAGATAGCATTCAGATTCAATGATTTGGAGGTTTATTAATAAGCCTGAGCAAAAACAACTTATTGGCATCAGGGTAGCAAAATTAATGCTACCTAATTCTAGCAGTCCCTGCTTGAGACCATATCCAACTATCACTTAATATAAGTTATATAAAGATACTTAAACCTCCTTTATAAGGGAGGGGGAAAAGTCTGACAGTAGAACACCTACGATTATACAACATACCTCACGGCTCAGTTTTAAAGCAACAGTAAGACAGCATCAATTCCAACTACCCTACAGTCACCTAAGCTACCAGGAGACTTAATCAATTGCTAAAACAAACAAACAAACCCACACAAAACAACAAACAAGCAAAAAAAAAAAAAAAAAAAAAAAGGTGACAGGTGACAATGCAGGGAGGAAGGGGATAAACTGTTTTCGCTGTTTTCACTGGTGGCCAGCGACAGGACGAGGGGTAATGGCCACAAGCTGAAGCATAAGAAGTTCCGTCTCCAGGTGAGGAGCAACTTCTTTACTGTTAGGGTGACAGAGCAGTGGAACAGGCTGCCCAGGGAGGTTGTGGAGTCTCCTACTCTGGAGGTCTTCCAAACCTGCCTGGATGCCACCCTGTGCCACATGCTCTAGGTGTGCCTGCTTGAGCAGGAAGGTTGGACTAGATGATCTCTAGAGGTCCTTTCCAACCTTAAATATTCTGTGAATCTGTGATTCTGTGAATCTGTGACTCAAAAGCCAAATGGCAAATCGAAGAGCAGTAATAGTCTACACACATTTATCTACAAGGATAAATCCACAAGAGGATTTGATCCTCTCTTCAGCAGCATTGGAAGTTTTACAAGCTACGCTGATGAAGCCATATGCATAATCTGGAAAAATCACTCTATTAGCAGCTCTCTACATCTACACTTATAAAATAACTCGCAAGAGGTCCTAGATCAGCATGTAAAACAGGACTGGCTTTGCATATTCATTTTATTCTGGATATCACTTAAGAAAGCTTCAGCAAGATTAACAAACTGAAAACTTGAACAGCTCTTCCTCAGTTGAAACTGATCAGAACTTTCTGAAGTTTACCCAAGAGGAAAATCACAGGTCTCCAAACCTATAGATTTGTGGACTTTCAAATTTTTGCTGTAGGTAATCAGAAGTTCTTGGGAACTAAGAACCAAACAATCTAGGAACTTAACCTAAGTCTCTATCACCCCAGTATTAGTTCATAGCCAATCAAAGTTCAACAGTGACTATAACACTTACCTACGAGAGAAATCATCCTTTGAATCAATAGTGGTCCTTGGCTGTGCAGGCTGGTCTAGCTCAGACATCACCTTCAGTCTCTGTTCCAGCTCATCACTGGTCTGCTTCAGATACTCTATCAAACTTTCAAATTGACAATGGAGGTCTTTATGTTTCCTCAGTTCAATTTCATAAGCTAGCTCAATAAGGTCAAATGATGCTTTCTGATTTATCAAATGGTGGTATATTTCATCTTGTCTTGCAGCATAGTAGTCCTGCTGAGCAATCCGACGATCAAGAACTGCTTTCACCACTGGTGCAATCCACTGTCGAGCATTCTCTTTCAAAAGGGCAGGCAGATCTTCATTGTTTATCTTAGCTATTTGCTTTTTAAGTGTTGAAATTTCATCATTTAAACTAGATACTTCGATGTCAAGGGTTTCTTTTTCAATTCCCTGCACAAAGCAAAATTTATGTCATTTTTTTCATGGCTCCCTAACATTTTTGCTCATCTTCCATTGCACCACTTCCATAGCATATCTCACTTCAGTTTACTGAAGGATTATGCACTCATGTCATGTAAAAAGTCACCGACAAGATACAGATTTAAATGCAAATTCTACAAGCAGTTTTACAGATCTGTACAACATATCATAAAGCAGATTTAAAAGTCAGGTACCAGTATTTTTCTTTTTTATTATGTTTTACCAATCAGGTAAAAGTATTTCAATAAATATGAATTCCATTCAGCAAATATGAATTCCATTCTATTGCAGTGCTGGAAAACAGCTTATTGTGGAAAAAGCCAAGACCTATATTTTGCTTAGCGCACAAGCTTCAAATATGGCTAACACATCTCAAATGCAAACATACCTATTTCTAATACTCAGCTGAATAGACTCAACACTACTATGCGAATCTATCTTATTCTAATTAGTTTAATCGATCAGGCCCTATGAGCTAGTCATCTATAACTGAAAACAACTCAACTGACATGATGTCACCTGCAAGACAGGCAATGACCGTAAGTTACCTGTAAGGCGTAAGTCAATTTTCCTCCCTTTGTTAGGGCTCTTCACATTCTTAAACAGCACTAATCATATTTGCTTGCCATGCACTTGTTGAGAGAGATTTTGGCACTTTCGCTATCTATTTATTTGATAGGTAGTATGCAGCAGTATAATGCCAAAATACCACAAATCCTTGAGTTTCGAAAGAGTCAGCAAAGTAGAACTTTTCAAATTTATGCTATGCAAAATAAACAGGAATACATTTACCATAGTAGCTTCCTAATACCCCCAAGATTTTAAGTTTTGTTTGTTGCATAAAGGAGAACTCCTTATAATATGAAATTTGGAATTTCATAATAAATTAAAAAGTACTAAAAATCATTAGTACATTTACAGTTTAGTTTAAGTTCCATTGCTTAAAGTAATAATTATAGAAATTGGTAAATATGGCAGAGCAGCTGCCATATAGCCATGCATAAAGCCATGCAGTTTTAGTTCAAAAGATAGAACACGGAGGTATTTCACAAGGCAGGTTTGTAGAGCATGACAAACATTTTTATAAAGTGTGGCTTCATTATGTAAATATTAGTGTAAATAATACCCCGGCAATTCTTTTTAACATAGCAGATCCAATTTAACATGCCTGCCTCTGTGTAAAACTCCACTTTCTTATATTATCTTTTACACCTTACCTTAGTCTTTAAGGAATGAAGTATTTTCTCTGCACACTGTATAGCTGACTTGATACTCTCTTCTTCGGCTTTCGATTGAATTAGCTGATGTTGAGCACAAATATATGCTGTTTGCAGACGAACCAACTCACGACTTTCTTCACAAACTTCATTAGCTTCATTGCAAGTCACCTGTTTGCTTTTATTCCCAAATTGAGAGTTTTCATCATGTGAATTTTCAGCTAATTCAGACGCACCTTGAGAAAAATGTTTTTTTACATATGAGGCAATTGCTAGAGTTCTTTGTTCCTCCTGAGCCAAATACTTGTCCAAAGAAAGCTGGGAAAAAAACACGGGATGTGGGCCGTTTTCTGATTCTGAAGCAGTCAAGAAAGAAGTCAGTTTCTTAACTTCATCAAAAAAAGATAGTAGCTCACTGTGAAGCTTACTGTTTGCCGCAGTAAGCGCTCCCAGGCCTTCTTTCATTTCTTTAAGTGCTTCCTCCTCTGCATCCTTCAATGCCTGTGAGATCTGGCTGGTTTTGGAAGACATCATTTGAAGCTTTTTAGATCGATGAATGGTAAGATTTTTCATCTTCTCAAGAGTTTGCAATTCGTCCTCTAATCTCTTACGTTCCTCCTTTTCTTCTTCCTCTCGCTGACTATTGCTCTTTGAATCTGCAGAACTGCAGGTTTTAAGAACTTCATCCAGTGCATCACCTTCTAGAATAGGCTTACCCGACTCAAGAAGATTATTAAAATCTTGCAGTTCTTTTTCAGATATCACATGCTGCTCATTTATATTTCCACAAAACCATTCCAAAAATGATCTGTCTTCCTCAGATTCAAACAGCCAGTCAAAATCTTCTCCATTAAGCTCATCAGCTTTTGGATATCCAATTTTCTTAAGAGTTTTTACAAACTCATTTCCACAACTCATGATTAAAATATTTTTGTAAGCAGAAAAGATCCCAATATATGAAAAACCTGAGCTATTATTCCAGTGGTATATTTTTGTTGTTTTTAGTGAGTGTTCAGTATTTTAATAAAAAACAGTCTGCACAGGAAAAAGCAAGTGTCAGATCAGAAAATCAAATCCTGGATTAGAGTGGCTACTCAAAGTATAAAAAGTTATTTTCTATTTCAGATACGCCTTAACATATTTTGGTCATCAAATTAGAAGGAATACTTCTGACAACAACTGAACCACAGATCCTTACAAACATTTATGTTTTTAAGTCTTTTAAAAATCTTTTTAGCTCTTCTAAAATGAGGGAAGGTCGGCTCATTCTAAAAACTGAGTCAAAATGATATTACTTTGCACTTAAAGATCTTAGTTATGGAGTTGTTGGGTTTGTTTTTTTTTTTTTTTTTTTTTAGCAGAAACTTGTTTTCCAAACTTTCATTTAAAATTTTCCTCTGACAATGGACAAAAATCCTCCAATATGACATCAGAAAGTAATAATGCAGTGATTTATTCACATTTATGCAAAAAACAAACAAACAAGCTGCGCATAATGCCTATACTCTACACTATGGGAGGAATCTTAGTTTAAAAGATACAAGAAAAAGGGACTTTTTTTCCCCAGAATGCAAGATGCAAATGATCAGCTTTGTGGTTTGGTAACAAAAGTGAAAGTACAGAACACACTATCAAGAAATTCAGCAGGCTTCGCTTGCATTTTTGGAGTAAAACATTCAAATACTTTTTTTAGAGTTCAGTCCTAACAAACACCTCGGGTCTAAAGCAGACATTTCTCCGGGGAGGAGAAACGGGAGGGGGGAGGCACCTTGCCAATTTTACAGGGAGCCGTGAGCGTTAAAAAAGCAAATGCATTCTGATTTTTTAACCTGTTTTTACTTGGCGCTATAACTAAATAGTAGATTGGCATTTGGATCCAAGCGTCCTGCCACGCTCCAGGTCCACCCAACACCCCCCACACCCAGCACCGCCGCCAACCTACGGGATAGCGGGGAGAAGGAGCGGGCAGGGGGACCCGCGGCCCCTCCGGGCTGCTCTGAGAGAGCCGGCAACGCACGCGGTACTCACCACAACACCCGGCGCAACCCGGTACTCACCACAACACCCGAACGCTCCCTCAGGCGCGCAGAAAATGGCGGGAAGAGCGGCCGGGCGGGCGCTGCCCGCGGGGGGCGGGGCGGGGCGCGCGGCCGGCGCCAGCGACTCAAACCGCCCGCCGCGCACCGGAGGGAGGCGGCTGCGCACGCGCGCCAGGGGGCGGGGCCGCTCCTCGACGGCCGCAACGGCTGTAACGGCTGTAACGGCTGTAACGGCCGCGCGTGGCGTGCTCTGCACTGCCCGCGCGCAGGAGCGGCCCGGAGCGGGTGGCAGCTGCTGCGAGGGGAGCCCATCGGTGGAGCTGAGCGTTGATGGGGGGTGTTCCTGCCTTCTCACACGGCTCTTCCTCACTCTCATACCCTCCTATTTTGAAATTGTCTTAAATGCATCCTCCATAATTGCCAGTGATTCCCGAGGAGGGGCTGTGGAGTTCTCAGCCCTTGGTTCAATCCATCCAAGGTGCAGAAGGAGGGCTTGCAGGAGCCCGCCAGCCCTAGTCGTGGCTCCTGTCCCTTGTGCTGCTCCAGTTCCCTGCAGCAAGAGACAAGGCATCCTGGTTGCTTGTCCCTTTCCTCTAGCAGCTCAGTGCATTTCCTGCCTCAGGGTGGAACTGTCCTGGGAAAACGCCCTCAGAATTGTGTTTTTATACAGGCTTGAAGAGCCAAGGGGTCTCGCCTGTGGAAGGCACACTTGAAGGGGCCGTGGTTGTGGGGATGTTGGAAACCGTGAGCTGAAGAACATCGGAAATGTCCGGTTAGGTCACTCATCCAAACAACTAGCCAAGGAGTCCTGGCATGAGCAGTAATTCCATAAACACAGTTTAGGAAAGGCCTCACCACTTTTACCGCCTCTGTCTCCAAAATTTCACTATTAATGATTCTAGAACCTATGTCCCTGCCAAGTAATTTTAGTGTTTATTCACAGACTTTGATGGCCATGAATTTTTCTAATCCATTTGGGAACCCGCTGATACCGTGTAACTGTAGAAACATCCTGAGACAACAAATTCCTAAACTTCACCGTGCACCACATAGAAAAGCACTTCCTATTATTGATTTTTAGACAGCTGTGGGCAGTTTTACGGCAGGGATATCACGCCCCATATCTTGTTCACAATACCTGTTCTTACAAAGCCCACCATCTTGGTGGCTTTGGGGGTGCCACTGTCCATTAAACCAGCAGAAAACTGTAAGCAAGGACTCCAGACCCTCTTTTCCGAATTATAAAGGCCGGTTTTGAGCTGTTCATCAAGTAAAATTTTAATAACAGGTTGAGCATCTTTTGTAAGACACTCATCAAATTCTTTTTTTGCCCTTATTTTCCTGTTAACATTGCACATACCATGGTTTTCTGGGTTTTCCTGATTGCCTTATCATAACTTCTCTTCACATTGAATCATGTAGAGTTTGGGGTGGTCTTTTTTTTTTTTTTTTTTTTTTTTTTTTTTTGGCTGCTTTGTTTCCTACCTGTAATTCTTATTTTACCTATTTTACCTCAGCTTTCAGTACATTATTTTTAAGAGCTTTCTGGCTAGCTGTAGGCTTCTTCCTTTCTGAACTGCTCTTTTCGTGGAGGGGGGAATTTGTCCCATTTTTACATAGTTCCTTTTCTTAAAATTGAGTATCTATATGCACTATTTTTTGGCTTGTTCTCCCTTGTTGCAATGTGAAGCCTAATTATACTGTGGGTGCTACTACAAAGCCGGTCGCCCACTCCTGAATCAGCTCCTCTGCACTGCTCAAAACTAAGTTCAGAATGATGTGTTTTGTTGCGAGTTCTAAGTCAGCCATTTAGTGAATCCAGCAACATTATCGTTACATCTCACCCTGATGAGGAATTCACCCGCTCTGCATGCAGGGAGTTGGACCCAAGTATATGTGGGCTTCTCTAATGTGCAGCTTCTCTAATCTAATGCAGTTGTTGAGGTGAATCAGCGAACGGAAATGAGCAACCTCTTCTGTTCAGCACAGCTAAGAATAACTCAATTTTTGTAGTACAAAATCACCACCAGTATTGCCTGGACAAATTGAAGAATGTTCATTTCTGGTTCATATAAAATATACTTTTAAATAAACCCTGATCTTGCAGTGAGTTCTCACAGGCAAAATAGGCTGTATCACTGAATCGCTCACCTTAGGATTTCTCTCAGATTTGCAGCTGAAGTTAAGACCAGCTCAAGTTTTCACATGTTCCTGCAGATACAGTGCAGGATACAGAGCATCCTTCTGCTCCGGAAGCAGCAGAATTATTCACCGGCTTATTTCACGAGGCAGCACAGCTTCATTCAGTTCAATTACTGTCACTGAAACCTGCCTGTCCTTTAGAGAATCAAAAATCCCGCTATCTGGCAACTATTCAAATCTGCCCTTGAAGTCAGCATCCCAAGAGGAACAAGATCGGAGGCAACGGAGGATTTAGCAAACCGGTGGCGGGCAACATTACTTGTTGTAGTTGGGGCCTTCAGTTCCTGGAGTTGGTAGCTCCCCTTTCCACCCTCCCCCGGGCTCACACACATATATTTGTGTCCCACCTCCCGTGCGCGCCAGTCTCATCCTCATAGAGGTGAGGAGCTCAGCTCCACCTGCCCCCAGCCGTACGGAGTATAGGGGATAATGGATCTCTCTGCTCAAACACTGGAGTTTCATAGAGGTTTTCACCACTTAGTAACTTTGCAGCCTCCATCCTGTCTCTGCTTTGTCAGCTTTGGTTAAAATTAGCCTGCAGGTTCAAAAGTCATCAAGGAAGGGAGGAGGGGAACAGATGGATGAAAGGGAAGTTGACGGACAACATAATCTCATAATGCCATCGGCATAGGAATTTGGGCTACAAATGGAACATTTTAGCTCATAACGCTGTGCATTTAAACTTCTTGTTTTGAGAGAACAAGCCTCTAACATGAAATAATTTTGCTTTATCAGATTGCACTGGCTTTTAGGAGTAGACATTGAACATTGCCTTTCCCTAACTGCTGACACAAAAGTATCTTTGCAATTCCTTGTAGCCCTTTTCTCCGTGTGGCCACAGCCCCCTACGCTTCAGTATAGTCTCTTTTGCAGCTATTTCATGCATCAAGAACCCCTATCTCCAGATCATTTTATTTCTTGCCTGTACCCTCTCAGTACATAAAGCTCTGCCGTACTCTGTTTTGTTTTTGTTGTTGTTTCTGTAGGAGCCCTTGTTTTGCATCTGTGTGGGAGAACCGGAGAGCGGCTTCGACAGTGCACTGCGTTACAAGGCACTGGACGGTGGATTCCGAGAGATGAGGACGTGGGCACTTGTGCAGGGAGCTCTGCAAGGTCTCTGCTCTTCCGCAGATGCTGCGTTGCGTTTGTGTGACACCCATGCGGCACTGAGAAGCTACCGAATGCCCGGGAGCCAAGGCCGTAAGACGAAACCCCTAACACTGCATTTCATGTCACATGAAAAACACCCTTATCTAAGTGCTTCGCTTATCACCGCTTTTTGTTTTGTTTTGTTTTGAGAAGTAAAAATTGAAATAAAAGACTCAGAAATAAGTCCCTTTACCCAGGGAACTGTAACGGTGTTAAAGGTTTTCAGTTTTGCATCCTACTGTTCATGGGCATGGTCACATCTGCCAGGAGCAGTAGGATTTTATGGATCTCTGATACAGATCGCTGCAGTATCAACCACTATTTGGAAACACACTGGACTAAAAATAGGTCTTTAAGGTAATTTATGTTCTGGATTAAGCACAGCTTCTGAAGTGTGATTTTTATAGCGATAAAGTAACAATAACCATAGTCCTAACTTCACCACTGAAACCACTATAAACTACCAGTTCTAGGAGATGCTGATGGCTGTATCATCGTGAATTTGTTTCTGATTTATAGCGCTTCTCCATTTAAATTCATTTGGAAGATAGAGCATTTCCATCCTGACAAGCTTGTGCACTTTTAATATTAAAAACTGAAACATCCACTGTTAGTAAGGTATTGAAATATATGTTCTTATAAACAGATCACAAGACATTGCAAATGTCTTAAAAGAGGCTGTACAGCTCATAAAGTGTACAGGATTTACAAAAATAGTGGCATAACATTTATCTTAATTCTTTAACTCCATTTGATTAATTCTTGGGCAGAGTGCAGAATAACGTGCTGCCCGAAGTACAGCACTGCTTATTTTATCTCTTTTCCTGTCAGAGATCAGTTTAGAATAATCTAATGATTTTCTGCATTGTATATTATGCTTTTTCTGTGACTGGTATTTTCAAAAAAAGAGCTCTGCTACAAAAATAGCTTTACTGTTTTGTGCATGAACGTTTTTACTCATTTAGCTGCTTAACTGATTTGAATTAAGCATAAATCTATTGACAGACTAGGTGCCATGATTTCAAGCTAAAACTGCTACTTACATATATTTAAGAACTCTCTATATTAAAATGCAACTTTCTTGTTGCACTAGAAAATAAAGATGTCACACGTTACACCTGAAAGTAAAATGATACAAACTGCAAAAGCATTTTAGTTGTTGCCCACCCCCTTTCCTTGCCCTAGGAACAAGCTGAAGTTTTCATCTTTTGTCTGGTTCTGTGTTGCTGGTGATGTGAATTTCATATTCATTTTAACAAAATATATATGCAGAATTTGTAGAATGTCTTTTAATGTTTCTATTTTGGTGTCTTGTTCAGAGGTGAAGTGATTTCAAGTGTAATTATTTAGAACAAAGGCTAACGTATTTCAGTCTGCACTTCAGTTTGGTTTGTCTGCAGAAATGCAACAGTGGAAATTTATACAGCACCTATGGTTAGAAACAAATAATGACTATTAGAATTACATTGGGCCAGTATATGTAATAACTTTCACTTAAATAGCGCTCCAAACTTAATGCCATACTATTGATTTGAATAGGTAAAAGTCAGTGAGCTCCATATTAAACGTTCATTAAACCTGTATGAAGAGATTTGCCAAGAGGAGAAGCTCTGTACACAAAAACGGATGAAGGAGAAAAAAGAAGAAAAAGGTATAAAAATTGGTATTTATAGCATGACAAGCTAATGATAGAAGGCAGTGCTGTGTGTGCTACAGACATAGCTGTGTGCACAGAGCAAGGACCACGGCCCTGGGTACAACTGCATCCCCACAGCACAGCACATCTCCCAGGCTCTGAACTGGCCATTTTGGCTCTGGGTCCCACTGGCCCTCACTCAAAAGGAGTCTCTTGCTGGGATTAATTTGTAACATTTGTAACATTTTAGATAAAAAGAACGGCCAAGATTACCAAATGGTTTCTAATGGTCTGCTTTGTATATGCCCTGCATTTTAATTCTAGATAGCTGCATAACACACTTAAGTTGTTGTTTTGCAGCTCGCAATTAAGAATATTGCAGTTAGTCACTTATGCAAATTGCCTAATTTCACTGCTGAGGAAACTTCTATTAACTTCTGATATGTTTGCCTCATTAGTTTTAATAGGGCTGCAACTGTTCTTTAAAAAAAGAAATCCAATTCCAGTCTCCTTCCACAAATTTGGAAAGCACTGTTAGTGCCTTAAGTATCAACGCTGTTCTTGGTTCCTACACATATGAAACCATTGGCTAGTAATAAACAAACACATTTCTGAAAGAATCTGCTTTGCAGACATTACTTTTATCAATGTCAGCATAAAATAGAGGAGTGTTGGGTTTTTTTCCATAGGGATGATCTGGGAGGATGAAAAATTGCAGGGGCAGTTTTGAGTCTGAGTTTCTCATCTGCTGGCACCAAAGTTCATTCACAGCCATCGGCTGAGCACAGTGTACAGCAAAGTGCTCCAGGTGCTGATACTCATCGCAATTTATTTGTAGCACCTAGAGCAACAGAAATAAGTCTCTTACAAATAATATTATGAAGCTGAATTTATATAGCTGAATTTCTACCCATGAATGTCAAGAAGGGAAATGCCCTTGAAGGTCAAGAAAAGTCTTAGTTAGATGCAAGTTGTATTGGCATCCAAGCAAGCAAGAAATTATTTTTGTCATCTCGTATCTTACCCTAAGAAATTAATGTTTTGAATACAAATTCATCCAAAAATAATCAGATGAAAATTTTGACCTTGTGGATTCTTCGTGGCCTTTTCATGTCTTGTTTTAATCTGATAAACCTTGCGCTGGACTCGGTTGTTTTTGCACAAGCACAGGATCCAGTCCTTGGCTCACTACATATCACAGGGCTGCCGCTCGCCAAACCTCCCTCTTTTGGGCAGATAAATAAGCCAAGCTCGGCTGGTTGGGAGGACGGGGCAGGGTGGGAGCGAGGGAACATGCCCTGGCCTGGCTGCAGCCGAGAAGCTGCACAAAGAGGCAGCCACTTCTGGCCACGCTTTCCCTGCCGTTCCAGACATCCTACGGACCCCTGCATGGTGCAGGCAACGGCTGCCTCCGCTTCTCGAGACAGACAGGCACCCGGCCAGCCTGCATCTCCACAAAAAGAACTGCTTGATGACTTCATCTCTCCGGAGCCTTTTCCACAGAGGAAAAGATCTCGCCCTGTAATCTTTTCTCTGCTCATTCTTTCCCCTGGTGGTAATTGCAGAGGAAAAAGAAGTCAGCATAGAAGTAAAATACTCTCACCTGTTGAAGGCAGGGTCACGACACAGACCTGCCGGGCAGCGGGAGTGTTTAATCTGGGAGCAAGCAGTGTTCCCTCTGCAGCAGTGTTCCCTCTGCAGCCGCGTTCCCACTGCAGCCACAGCTGCACCCTGATGCCTCCACGTACACACGCAGCACGCACCCCAAAGCCCAGCTTCACTCTCTCCAAAACAGAAGGCTATTTCCATCCCTTGGTGGCACATCCGAGGGCTCTGGGGCCACAGGTGATGCTGCACTGGATGCTGTGGAGAACCGTGGGGAAAGCTCCTTTGCAGCAGCCTGCTGGGCCCCTCTTGTCCCCGCTGCAGGTGGCGAGAGCAGGACGGGGCCCGGGGAACGGAGCCACTCAGGACGTGGCCAAATCCCAAACTTGGAGCTACTGCGCCCTCCGCTTCAACCGGCCTCCTGCGTCTGGAAGCGCCACCTCAGAGCGGGCTCTGCTTAAGGGAGAGCAACCCAGGCAGTGTGGGCACCGCTGCTCCGCGTACAGCCCCGCAGCAGCAACTGGAAAAAGGAAATACAAATAAACCCTTTTCATTTCCACTCAAGATTATTCGAATAATTTTTATTGAAAATATAAGATCTACAAAGCCATGGATACCCAGCGTGGAAGAACTCATTAAGTTAGCACATTCATCTTTAAAAGGAAAATTTCAGGTTGACCTAAGGTACAATAATGTTCAATTTAAAATCTTGTCTTTCCTTCTGTGAGTTTCAAATCTCTTTTCATTAGGAGGTTCTGT